ACGAGCTTCTGGAGCGCTCTACGCACGTTTATCTGTCTCCAGATATCGCCATATTAGCAAGGCAAAGCGATAGCCTCTCAACTCACCCTGACGCAGGGCCAGAGGTCGCCTCTGGGCTTGGGCCACGCTGCGCTCCTCTTTGGCCATCGCAGTACTATCAAGATGGATGCAGAAGAAGTCAGAGCCTACCGGCTTCAGCAGGGATCCTCATCTGATCAGGTTCACGGCACTGATGACCCTCCCAAAGTGATACATCTGCGCTTGTCTCAGGAAGTGATCGAGGCGCTTCGGGCAGGCAGCCATGCTGCTGAAATCGACCTGAGCGCGAATGGTGCAGTAAGTTGCAAGCTAGGATACGACGAGACATTATGTGTGCTCTTGTGTCTCATCTTTGACCTCCCTTGATCACTCCTGCAGTCGATTATATTGGGCGGAATCTCTCATCCACTTAGCAAGGCGCCAGACGAGTCATTGCACGAGCTGTATGCTGTGGGCCATGCTCGATCAGGCGCGGGGACGCTGCGGCACGTAGGCGCGATCAGCCACAAGTACTCTGCCAAATCTTCATCCATGGCCTCAAGCGGCGCCGCATCCAGACTGAAGGAACGTAGGGAAGAAGAAGCTGCGAGAAGGGATGCGCGTCAGGCCGTACTCATGGAGCAGCCCACATCCTCCAAACGAGCCAAAGCTTTATCTTCGGCTGTGAGCACATCCGACGTGTCGAGGGCTTCGCCGGTCCGCAAAGCCAAGCGTGGGATTCTTGGATCGCCAGCGCAGCTCATCACTGGTGTGTCATCGCGCCCTGCAACCCCTATGCGGGATGCGCCATCCAAGCCGCCGGGGACTCGGGGCGGTGAACAGACTGATAGCGCCCGCGCTCAATCGCTCTCCCGAATGATGTCAAACGCCGCTCCTAGCGTGCGTCATGAAAACTCAGACGATGCAGACGCTCAGGCGGCGCGGAGATCCATCACCTCTTCTCCGCCCAGCCTTCGGACTCGACTCATCCACCTCCTGGCGACAGGACCCTTGCAACGCAGAATCCTTGTTGCTCAGCTGAAGTCTCCTGAACCTCAAATTGTCAAGCTGCTCTCATCCTTGGCTGTAATTCCACAAGATTTGCAAGTCAATTCCTCCGACAAGATGAAAAAGCATTTCAAAGGTCCTGTAAACCGTCGGTCGCTTCCTGCACCGCCAGCCAATGCCAGTGCGCCAGGCACTCCAGGGCCAGGGACCGTATATGCGCTCAAAGATACTACGTATCAAGACGTTCAGCTAGATTGGCCGGAATGGAACTCTCGAACAAAAGTTGAAGTCAGCGATCTGGCAGAAGCTGCCTTCAACAGGCTTGAGCTGGCCGACGACGCTCCGCAGAGGCTGGCACTGTACCCTGACGGACGTCCGACACAAGCTGCTCGGGAAGAATGGAGACGTAACGCCAAGGCGAAAGAAGCAGTCGAAAAGATGGACGATGGAGAGGATCTCAGTGAGGAAGGTGAATGGAACGAGGAGGAGGACGACGCTTATGCTGAGAAGTCACCCCCTACCGAGAGCGAGGTGGAGTCTCGCTCCCAGAGCCATCAGGGATCAAAAGGCTTGGGACTACTTGGTGCTGAGAAGGATGGCGTTGTCACACAGCCATCGGAGAGTCCGGCGCGTGCTCAAGCGTCAGACAAAGCCCAGCACAGCTTGCAAGACGCGCCTTCTGGCTCACCCCCGAAGGCAAACCCCACGCCTGCAACGAAGGCATCAGCTAGCACAGGTGCCAAAAAGAAGGGAATCTCTGTCGTGAGCAGGGTGAAGAGATCCCTACAAAGTCGAAACTCTCAGACGAGCCCTAGAGCGCCCGTGACGAACCCAGAACACTTGTCTGATACGGACGATGCCAAGAATGCACCGTCTCGAGCGGGCGGGCAGATCAAGAACGCGGCGAAAACGTCCCTGGCGGCAAAAGGCAGTGCAGCAACCAAGACCACAAAAGTCAAAGGCACCAAGAGACCGCTTACGAAGGAAGAAGACTTTGATGCATCACTCGCATCCAGCAAACGTGCTCGTCTGCTGCGCGAGGCTGCTGCAGAGAGACGCTCTCCCTCTGCATCTGACACCACCAAATCTGCGTCGTCCAAGCCAGCGGGACTTGCCTCGCAAAAGATTAAGAAGCCAGCAGAAGACAGAGGTGGCCCCTCAAAGACTTCCAGGGCGCCGGTTCTTCCTCCTGCCAGAGATTACACGGATACGGAAGACGACCAGGAAAGGCCTCATGAACGTGGCCGAAGCAAGCATCGCGTGAGGGTGCAAGACGCGGCCAAAGCTCATTCTGACCAGCAAGGCATCCGATCCCGCGTACGTCGGAGCTACTCTTCCTCCGTCTCTCCCGACCGAGCCGCACAGGAAGGCCCCCGCCAAACGCCTTCTAGACGCCGCGACGTTTCCGCATCTCCAATTCGCTCGCAAACCATTTCGCGTCGTGAGAGTTCTGGCGTTCAAGCACGCCACGGGGTTGGAGCTGGTGCGCTGAGCCTCGCAGAGCCCTGGTTGGACGTTCGTAATGCTGGCGATTGGGAGCAATTGAAGGAGCGATTTGCCAAGATGTATACGGAGTACAGAATGGGACATGATCGGATCAAGATGGAACGCAGAGCTTTGCAATACGAGTTGACGCTTGCGAGAGCCGAAGAGAGCGCTACCGCATCCGCCATCGCTGCTGCTGCCGCTCTAGAGAGGGAGAGGAGCAGGGAAAGAAGCGCCGAAATCGACCTGATCAGAGAAAGACAGCTACAGGAAGAGGCTATTCTTCGAGTTCGCCAGATGAATCAGAACGAGGACGCGCTTACTTGGAGAAGCGAGCCATCGTTGGGTCCCAACGGTCAGCACGCTCTGGGTCCAGCTCCTTCTCGACCTAGAGCTCCAATGCCGTTCGAGAAGCTTGTAGAGCTTGTACAGCGTCAAGAAGATCTTCACGGTCAGCTGAGGCGCATGATGAGCGCTCTGAAGAGTAGCAAAGAGAGAATAGAACATGGTAGAGTTGCTATGGTCGCGTAAACGGACTGATATCGCATCCTTCGGTCCAAAGTCCATCATTCAGATAAAAGCACAGACAGAGAGGTTCACATTTGTAATCCCATCCCATCCCCATCCCAGACGACATTTTTTGGTTCATGGTCGACATTCGCATTTTCTTTCGTACATGTTCGAAACTCGCATTTCCACCCACATGTTCGACGCATCATCCTTACCTTGAATAGCAATGAACATCAAAAGAAGTTCACACTCTCTCTAATTGTCAGGTCAGATACTTCGCAAGAGTCTGTGCACCAAGGAGCTGCAAGCTGGCCAGGCAAAGACGCGTTCGACAAGCGTTCATGCAGA